CTTTAGGTCATGTCAGAAAACGGTTATTTACTTGTATAAATAGCAGCGTAGGCCCTTGTATTTCAGTGTGCTTCAGTATTGTAATTGTCAACATTTTCATYAAAATTGAAAATCATTTTGAAGCTCTCTCTTGTGTTCTTYAGTCAWCTTARTYGTGTTCTTATTGATTTCTACTGTGCTTGATTGTTATTACTTCCGCTGYATTATCACTGTCAAACATATCATCAAAGTAAGTAATCTATACCAAGAAACTGAGTTAATCGATCCAACAACAATCTTTTGAGTGTGGGTCAACTAGTCCTAAAGGGATACAATGTGTGTTTCAAGAATGGCATTGGTGAAATAAGGGATGCCTCCAATACGTTAGTTGGAAGCGTAAACATGACCTCGAATAAGATGTTCCCTATCAGGTTTGACGATAGAAACTTTTTTTTCATTTAGCATGACAATTAAGGATGCGTCATGGCTTTGGCATTACCGTTTGGGACATGTAAACTTTGGTGCTCTTACTCACATGCAAAAAAGTGGGATGGTACGTGGCCTACCTCAAATTCAGACCATGAACAATGTATGTGAAGGATGCACCTTAGGCAAACACTCTAGAGAATCCTTCCCACACGATACGGCTTGGAGGGCCGCAAGACCCCTAGAACTTGTTCATTCGGATATATGTGGTCCTATGAGGACCTTGTCTATTGGAGGAAGTAGATATTTCCTTACATTTATTGACGATTACAGTCGGAAAGTGTGGATATATTTTTTAAAAGAAAATTCATAAGCATTCAATTACTTCACCATCTTTAAAGCCTTGGTAGAAAACCAGAGCAATCACAAGATAAAATGTTTGAGGACAGATCGTGGTGGTGAATATGTTGCACGAAGATTACAAGATAAGATGAAAGAAAATGGTATTCGTCACCAACTTACAGCTAGTTACACTCCCCAACAGAATGGGGTTTTAGAACGAAGGAGATGTTAAAGGAAAAACATTTACCCGATGTTTTCTGGGCAGAAGCAGTCGCTTGTGCAGCCTATCTGAACAATAGAGTGTCTACAAAGAGTCTATTTGATAAAACCCCTCAGGAGGTCTGGAGTGGCTTTAAGCCTAGTGTGCAACATCTAAGGATCTTTGGTTGCATAGCCTATGCCCATATCCATGAACAAAGAAGAGGAAAGTTGGACGAGAAGTCGGAAAAGACGATTTTTATAGGCTATAGTGACAGTACGAAGGCCTACAAACTTTATAATCCATCTACTAAGAAGGTGATTGTTAGTCGGGATGTAATATTTGATGAGTCCAAGGCATGGAAGGGACTCACATGTGATAATAAAGGTACATGCATTCTCCCTAAAGAAGACAGCAACAACCAAAGCAAATCAAGTGACGAGGAAGATCTTCCTGGTACGCCCCCTCAAACCAATCCTTCTCCCATTAATCAAAATAATCCCTCTCCTAGTCCCTCTAGTTCAGATGATGACACATCATGTAGATTGGTTAAAAGGACGAGAACTATGAGGGATCTTTATGAGAACACGCAACGACTGGACTTTGATGCCGTTGCAGATTTTGCCTTATTCGTTGATGCTGACCCAGTACACTACGATGAAGCCTGTAAGGATAAAAGATGGAGGGATGCCATGGACGCTGAAATAAACTCAATAATAAAAAAACGATACGTGGGAATTAGTTGAGTTGCCTAAGGGGCACAAAGCTATTGGCGTAAAGTGGATCTACAAAACAAAGTTGAATGCAAAGGGAGAAATAAATAAATTTAAGGCAAGATTAGTCGTGAAAGGGTACAAACAGCAATTTGGAATTGACTATCAGGAGGTTTTTGCTCCCGTAATCAGACTAGAGACGATACGGTTAGTATTGGCCATCGCAGCGCAAAACAACTGGAGTGTCCATCAAATGGACGTTAAATCGGCGTTCTTAAATGGGTTTCTAGAGGAAGATGTGTACATTGAACAACCAACTGGTTATGTCAAGCAAGGGGAAGAACATACGGTTTGTCACTTGAAGAAGGCTCTTTACGGGCTAAAACAGGCCCCTAGGGCCTGGTATGCTCGAATAGAAGGATATTTCTTAAAAGAGGGGTTCGGAAGTGCACCTATGAACACACTCTATTCATAAAATCACTCAGGAACAAAGTTCTCATAGTATGCTTATACGTGGATGACTTGGTGGTCACAGGAAATTCACTTCACTTAATTGTTGATTTCAAGAAGTCAATGATGTTAGAATTTGAGATGACAGATCTAGGTCCTCTTCATTACTTCTTAGGTATTGAAGTAACTCAAGAAGAAAACAAGATTTTCATTTCACAGAAGAAGTATGCTAATGATTTACTTGGAAGGTTCAACATGCATCAAGCTATTCCAGCAATCACTCCTATGGAGTTCGGCTTGAAATTAACTAAAGATTGCTCTGGTGATCATGTTAATCCAACACTATTTCGCAGCCTCGTTGGATGCCTTATGTACTTAACGACAACAAGGCCCGATATCATGTTTCCGGTAAGTTTGGTTAGTTGTTTCACGGAAAGTCCAAAGAGAAGTCATTGGGAGGCTGGAAAACGCATTTTGCGTTTCATTAAAGGAACATTAAACCATGGCATCATGTACACGAAAGTTGAAAATCCGAGTCTGAAGGGTTACAGCGAAGTGACTACGGAGGAAGTTTGGATGACAGCAGGAGTACCACGGGATTCGTTTTTTGCATGGGTTCGGGGGCAATATCTTGGCAATCAAAAAAACAAAAGGTTGTGGCTTTGTCTTCAGTAGAAGCTGAATATATGGCACATTCCCTTGCAGGTTGTCATGCTTTATGATTAAGAGGAATTTTGGAAGAAATGGGTATCGCTCAAACGAATGCTTTGAAGATCTTATGCGATAACAAGTATGCCATAGCCTTGACTAAAAATCCGGTGTTCCACGACAAAAGTAAGCACATTCGTATAAAGTTTCATTTCATCAGAGAACTCGTTCAAAATCACGAGGTGGAGATAGACTTCTATGAATCAAAGAATCAAATAGCAGATGTTTTAAACAAGGCGCTGCACAGTGGATGTTTCACTTATCTAAAGAAGGAACTGGGAATAAACTCTGTCTAGCATACGCGGGAATATTAGATTGTATGCTAGACCTGGTTGGTATTCACGTCAAGTTCTTAACGTCCGTTAGTCTCTTTGAAACAATATGTCTCTTTGAAACGGTGTGTCGGTTAAAATGTCGGTTTGTATGTCTTGTATATATGTGGTCTATGTATATGTCCAGTGATGTTGTTCTTCTGAAAAAAGTATAATAAAATATTCTTAAGTGTTTGATAGACCATTATCTCCCTAACATTAACAAAGGATGTGAGATAAGGGGTTAGACAATGTCAAGAATGGTGGTACAACACTTATTTTCATCCGGTTACCAAGGTCACTCCATATGAAGTAGTTTATAACAAGCATCCACCGATACACCTACCATACTTGCCAGGCGAATAAGCTAATGAGTTGGTCGAAACGAGTTCTCAAAAAAAGGAAGAGATAATTATGAGGTTAAAGTTTCGTTTGGTAAGAGCTCAAGTAAAGTTGTAGAACTAGGCAGAAAGCACACATAAAATAGAACCTTTAATGCGGTAGATTCGGTATGGCTTAAACTACAACTGCATAGAAAAAAAGTTCAGTTTCGATAAAATAACAAGTTCTCACAATGGTTTTATAGCACATATTCCCTCGTAGTTTCAAAATCAATTGGGAGCATGTGAAGCACGACCAATAGCTATACTGGACGGAAGTTGTCAAATTTCAAAGTGTACCGCAATTGAATTCTTCCTCTTGAATAGAATACATCCGTTTCCACCCAAAGTATCCTTAACAGTAACCGCTATGGTTAGAGGTTCTGGAAGATACTGTTGCAAAGCCTTTTTTCCATACCGTATTATTTTATATAACAAAATCACGATTATATTATACAATATTGACCATGGCGAGTCAAAAAATTGCCCTTTAAATCTTAGTTGTTTAAATCAAACTTGATTTTAGATCTCAGTCCTTTAAATTGTTTATTCTTTAATTTTCGAAGATACAATTAATTAAGGATATTGTACAATATTTTACAGCATTGAATCTTCCATGGTTTTCCATCAAATATTTTTAATTTGAAAATTACATTTTATACTCTTATAATTAGTAATTTGATTTACTTTATATCTCTTACTTTTTCATTTTTTATCTACAACCCTTATCATATTAATACAAGCAATTGTATATAAAGTAAAATGCATTTAATAATATGTTTCCTTTTTTACAAATTAAATCATTAGAATCATCTCACCAATATATTCAAATCGAGCACAATATTGAATATTTTTTGATTCAATAAGTCTATTAAATATCATGAATCAATACAAAAATTATTTTGTCTTATATCCATACATTTTCATTTCACATATTTAGCTATTTATACTATCTATACTATGTTATAAAACATGTTAAACAGTTTTTGTTGAATTTTTAAAGATACGAATTTTGATGCATCATATACAAGTTTAAAAGCTTTACAATCTCTCACGTTCAACAAGATATTTAAAAAATAAGATTATTTTTTATTTTCATGTTACACTTTATATCCTTTTAATTAGTTATTTAATTTACTTTATACCCCTTCGTTTTTCATTTTACACGTTTATCATATTATTATATATAATCATATATTAACTAAAATATATTAAAAAAATACGTTTATTTTTTTACAATTATAGCATTGTAATTATAAATATTGAATATTTTTAAATTTAATCATATTATTAAATAAAATAAATACACAGAGAATTATTTTTAAAACTTATCTTTAATATCTTAATATTTCATTTGGCACCCCTTATCTATACTATATTATCAAGCATACTTTAAACAGTTAATGGTAAAAATTAAGAGGTACATTATATTATGCATCTTGTACAACTTGTAAAGCTCTGTACAAGTTGTAAAAAAGACTCCTAATCCCATGTACCCAAAACATTCCATGTAGATTCACGCCCTTTCGATTGTCACTCTCATTATTTACGCTCTACCTTGCTTATCTAATCGGTCCTTCTCAATCTCCTCAAATCCTCATCAAACAATTCTTTTGTTTTCTATTATGCCATGCATTCAGTTCAAGAGAAGGCAAGATTGAATTTCAGTATAAGTTAATTCTCAATTTGCAATTGATTAGATTTTTTTATAGGTTTTAATTTTGGAGTCTACCAATCCTTTAATATCCAGTTCCAGCTCTTCATCGAGTTTCAAATGCTCGATTTCAAGTAGTGCATCCTTATCAGATCATATTATTGTGTGTTCGTCGTCGATTGGCGAGTTCGACGGAATCCCCTGGACATATTTATGAAAATCCTGAAATTACTTGGAACAAAAGAGGTGGCTAAGCTCATAGTTGTTTGTAAATCATGGAAATTAATCGTTTCTGATAATATGTTTTTGATATCTTATCTTTAGAATTAGCAAGGTCCGTGGGATTCGATGTTCTTCATTGAAGCCAACTTACGGTCCTGTTATCCTCTTCGGTATGTTTTTTCTTTGCTATATTTATATGTATTTTAAATAAATTTCTGAATTGGCAAACAAGGATTTTGCATTTTGAAATTTTAGATGCTACGATTTACGAATTATTCAAACAGAAATTCATTTAGCTTTCTTTTTAATATGGTTGTGTTGAGAGCTAAAACTATGGTTGCTTTAAAATTGTCATTTTCAATGCTTTAGAATATACATATTTTTCAACAACTAAATAGGGTTGATGGACGAAGAAATGAATACCTATGAAATTTCGGAGCTTAGAAGCTCTCATAAAGCAACTTTGTTATCAAAGAAGGAAAATAAGATCCATGGATTTCTTCCGGTCAGGTACATTTTCATTCCCTTATCATCTAACGTCTTCAGTGTTCTTTGATTTCCTCTTCAATTTTTTCCTGTTGTTCTTAATCAACAATTGCATGTGTATGTAACCACATACATGTAAACATATGTATGTATATCAGGATTTTACCCTAGCAGCCCAAAGCAAGACATACCGTGAATAGTCAGTCAAATATCGGGAGAAGTATCGCAGTGAGTTGAGAGCATTGATGGTGTCAAAAAAAGAAAATGGAAAGCCACATTTAGCTTCTACAAATCCGTTTGTAAAGGTAATCTTTGTGAAAATGGAACTACTTAGAACCGTCACAATGATATCCCTCCCCACAACTCTAGGCGGTAATACTTGAGGTTGCTGGTTTGAATGGGTTTCAAACACAAGCAACTAATTTTGTCACCTATTCATGTTTACCTGAGATCACTACTCGTAAATTGCAGTGGATTTTGATCAAAGATTTCGATTTTGATCAAATCATGAAGTTGTGGTGTTGTTGGTTGTATCTGCTCACTCTCTTTGATTATCACCACATGATGAAATTGTTAATAGCAAGGCTAATGGAAGAATAAGGCCAGTTTTGGTTGTTTGGACTTGAAATTATCTTTTTGATGGTCACTTTCAGTTCTTGCAATATTTAATTTTGCAATATTTCATTCTTTCATGTTCTAATGATATTTTAGTGGATTTGTTAGATACCAATATGAGTTCTTTGAATGTTTTGTTGGCAAGGTTCAACATTATTTTTTTCACCTTTCATTTTTATTGACGAACTTACATAAAGACAATATCCCTTCAATTTACAAAGCTATGGGTTGATTTTGGATGACAATTTGGCCTCCTTTTTACTTTAAATAGATTTTGAGAAATTTATCAAAAGAAAAGTCAAATAGAATCAGGTAAATGGTATCATATTAACTTTTACAGTTGGAAAATACTAGTTCTCATTTCACATCAAAAGTCAAAGTATGTGTCTTTTCTAAACTTAGATGTTAGGAATGATTTAACATTTTGGGTATGAGTAATTATTTTTATTTTGTTGTCTCTGATGATTTTGGTATATAAAAAATTTAGTTTTGTTTTTGCTTTTGATGATTTGGGTAAGTGAAAGAAAGTATAGATATCATTTTATTTGATCGATGAACTTAACGAAAAACAACATGGGTAGTATTTTGTTGTTGGAGGAATCACTCCAACTTCTCTTGGAGAAGGCAAGTCTTCTTCCGTTGTTGGTCTTTGTCAATCTTTGAGAGCTTTTGTTGATAAAAGGTAACATTTTAGTTAACTTTCAACATTCTTTTTGTTTGTTAAGGATATGATATGGGTTTGAATCATTGTATGATTATGTCTCGATCTTCAATTTTAATATTGGTGTTCTGTTGTGGATGCTTTTATCGATGGGTAGCACTAAGGATTCATGGTCCTGTTTTAATGAAATTCAATGGGATTTGTGTGGGTATCTTTTTTAATAGTGTTATCAGTCTCAAAAAAAGCAGCTATGGGGATGCTTATCAAGCATTTGTCCCCAATACAGCAGCTATATAGTGTTGTTATCGAGTGCAGGTCCATAGGGGCAGATTGGGCCTCTTTCGGAGCATTTTCAGGGCTTTTTAAGGTCTGTTTCAGGGACGTTTAGAATCTCTTTAGAAACTGATATTGATCAGTTCTTTCGTCTCCGTCTAGAGTGATTCGATTAGGGGTACATTGTGAGATAGTAGGAGTATTACTTGGGGTGGCAATCGAGTTCGGATAAAACTGTTGTCACATAAAATTATGCTTATATTTCTCATATTATCGATTTGTTCAGATTGATAAGCCGTCATTTTGTTTGAGGTCTGTTTTAAAGACATTTAAAATATGTCTAAAATCATGTCATGTACCCGACCAACGGACGTGTACAACACTAGTTATAATGGTACTTTGAAGTCTATTTCGCTATGTGTTAATAATAAAATCGAAAAAGAAAAACCATTTTTACTAGTGAAGAAGTTCAAGGGCTTTTGACAATGTCTCTTTGAACTTGGCCACATCAAGCTTTACATTTTGCTTATCTAAATAAATCGATCTAAAAGCACCCCATCCTTTCCTTTGAATTGAACCTGGATCCCTGAACACTTGATGGTTATGTGGGTATTGGTCTATCAATGTGCTCTCCTCTTCGCTAATCTTATACTCCAAATACTTCAACCCCATTGCCTTTGAAGGCTCTCCAAAATCAGTGTTTGCTAACCACTCCATCTTTCCGCATGGAACCACCTGTATCACCACGCCATTTTCAGGCAGAAACACCATGTTGGTTAGCCCTGCACCATGAACCCCCATCATCACATCACATGAGTTCACAAGTCTTGAAACCTGAGTCATATTCGCATTCATTTCGGTCACAATCACCTCGAATCCCATCTCTTGAGCTGCACCAACCACGTCTTTCAGGTTCATAAAAGCTCGGGTCTTTTGTCTTGAAACTATTAGAAGACGGGGTCTTTTGATCGAGCTGTTGGTTAATTTTATGGTGGTCGATCGCTCCAATGAGTAGGAACTTCTCAAGAACCGTATGAAATCATTCATTGAATCGGTGTGTAGCTCTTGCCGATCTTCCTTATTAAGACCTACGATCATACTTGGGAAGCAATGCACTTGGTTGTCGTTATCAATATCAATGTTCTCATACCTTGATAGTTTGTCCAACACTTTTTGGAATTTGGTAGTCCATTGAGAACGTTTGTTGGCCACGAGAAACCGCACTTCTCGATTGAATTCTCGAGAAGTTGCGTAGAGAGGGATGATGACATCTGTGAAGGCATGGAAGTTATTCCCACCGTACCCACCAACCGAGAAAACAATGGCTGGTTCGTTGTACATTTTGGTGCATTTGGGCATGGTTTCAGCTTGTTCTTCGATTGCTTTTATCGAGAAATTGGTTACGCTTTGCATTGCTTTTTCGTCACCTTTACGAGCATACGGCTTGATGGTCCATGAAGCATTTTCCACATGCGAAGAAAGCACGAAAATTGTGGAAGAATTCCCTTGAATCCTGACATCGCCCTTCATCATGCAGGTATCTGATCTTGGTTTTGTTGTGTTGCATAGTAGCTTTGTTTCCTTTATTCCAATATCTATCGACAATCATCAGAAAGTTTCCAAGTTAATTTGTTTTGTGGGTCTTGATCAAGTAATGCCATCATCTAGTATAAATCCTGCCAAATAATACTTTGTTTCCTTTACCATTTTCAAATCCTAAGCAATTCAAACCCCTCGCAAACAATGCTATCACTCCCCCTCGTCGCTCACGGTCACCCTACCGTTGTTCGCTCTTCATGTCACACTATTGGCTCCTGACATGAATCTCCCTCTTTTTTATCTAATTTTAGGGGCTTACGGATAGGTTTTTTTGAGTTAGAATGATGTAAGTAACTTACTTTTAAAAGTTCGATAACTTGTTTTATTGAAAAAAATTGTATTGGGAGTTAATCATTCAAAATAATAAAGTTTAACGGTTTTTTCATTAAAAAAAATAGTTCATGGATTTAATAATTCAAAATGAGAAAATTTAATGATTTTTCATTTAAAAAAATAGTTTATAAACTTAATCATTCAAAATCAAATAGTTTGTTGGGTTTTCTAAACTTTTCTCTTAAAAAATAAATAGTTTACTAACAAAGTATAAATTAAAAATTGTAATCAAATAATAATACTTTAACTGTTTTAAATTTAAAATTATTAAGCATTGTGTTATGAACTTGTTCAGTTTATAATATTTATATTATATTAATAATTTACATTATTTTAGTTTTCTGTGATTTAAATTATTTATTAAACAGTTTATTTTCGTTCTACATTTACGTTGATAGAAAATTAAAATGATAATTTATTTAGAAAAAAAAATCAAATAAAAATTTATCTTAATTCATCTAAAAGAATTAATATTTGAAGACACTTTAATAGATTTAAAGTTTAATAGATAAAATCACAAAGTTGGTATATGATTGGTTTGAATTTGTCTCTAAAGATTAAAAGTGTCTAGAGGTCCCGAGTTTAAATCTAAAGAGAAATAAAAATCATCTTATAGCCAAGGAAGTTCAAACACGATAACTCCGAATTACCCATAAAATAAATAGTTATCTTGAGATTAATTAGTTCGCATAACAAATTAAGTATTCAAGTTAATAAAAAAAATAATAGATGAAAAGTCAAACAACCGTTGCAAAACAATATCTTTTGTACTTACATGGCGGTTGTGGTTTGTTCATTTCGTGGGTGCCCATCACCAATTTAAGCCCATCAACAATTGTTAGCCTAACATTCACTACAAAGAACCAGAATATTTTTAAATTAAAAGAAGAATAAATTACATTAAAATAGAACCAATTTTAATCTCATTTTTATTTTAAGAAATCAATTAATAAAACTTTTATTTTTGGATCTAAAACTAATTTAAGCACCCGATAACCTAATAGCATTTCCAACAGCTTTTTTATAATTTTTTTAAAATAAAGAACCAAAACAGAGATTTTCTAAAAAAATTGCATTCATCTACAATAGATTCTCAATTTTATAATTTATAACATAAATTATATTATTTTAATATTCTCTAATTTTTCATCGAATACACTTTTTTAAAAAGAACTTTTTATGATAAATAATAACTCAATCTCATTGATGAAATAGAGTAATTACCTAATTTCAAGAAGATTGTTAGGAAATTATATGGGGATTTATGATGGCATTGGAATTGGAGTTAGATACAGGTTTAGTGTACGTATATCTAGTGAAGTGGGAGAGAGGAATAAGGTTCTCGAGCTTTTACAAACTTTGTGATTGTTTATTAAACGCTTATCCGGTAGGTGTTTACAGGGCAATTTTTCTCATCGGACAATCATGACAAGGCCCAAGAATCTTACCTGGTAAGAGCGATGATAAGGATAGAGAGTCTTACCCGGTAAGTGAGGGTGACGACTTTTACCCGGGTAAGTGCTTACCATATATATATATTGTTACATACAATACAATTTTCATATACTACAATCTTACCCACAAAATATTCATATTGTTCTAAAGTGTTTTGAGTCCGTGAAATGGTGGAACTTGCATGGCTCTAATACAATAACAAAGTATGTGTAACCTTATTAGATGAGATTATTTTTCCACAAATCTCTTGAAAGAAGAATATCGGTCCAAGTTTAACCTTTTTGACGAGCCAACTCATCTCAACTATGGGCTATGGTCTAGAAACGTACATAAAATTTAAAGTAGTATGGTTTTAGGTATATATACTACATGTTGCTTTATCGAAAATGTGACATATAAAACGACTTACAAGCAGGTAGAGGAGCAAGGTAAGGCTTGAAAACGGTGCATAAACAACATGTGACGATGAAGCAAACGACCAATGCAGTGTACCCGAATCTTTTCTGGTCGTGTCTACTGAAGCTTCGAGCGAAAATCTCGTCATATTTCGTTTCTTTCTGATCCATCTCCTATGACCATGCCAAAATGCTGGCGATTGAAAGCTGCAAACATGTATGTGCGATCCTGTGCATTATATATATTATGTATATATATATATATACACATATATAGAAAGGCCTGCAAGAAAGGGCTTCTTTGTCAATGATTGCTGCCCACGATTTCAATGTATTTGGTAGTTGACTTATGAAGGAGAACAATCTATTGCCATTTTTAACAACTCTTCTCTAATTTGACCCTAAATTGGAATACAAAACTCCATGTCCATTGCGCACACATCATCATTTTTTGGGTGAAAATAAAAGTTAAGGTGAGAAGAGTAGAAAGAAATTTTGATGTACTTTTGGATCAATTCTAATTGAAGATTAATACTGATGCGGTGCAGTGAGATATATCAAATCAATTCTGATGATAAGCGCAATTGATGGGGTTGAAAGTGATTAACAGTCCAAATCTCTTCTTATGCTTCTTATCTTAACTCTTATTCTCACACGATCATTTGCTTTTATATATATATATATATATATATATGCATACATACACACACACACACATAGATATAGGCAAAAGATCGTGTGAGAAGGAGAGTTAAGATGAGAAGCATAAGAAGGGATCCAGACCCTTGATCACCTTTAATCTAAAACTCATTCAAGAATCGTGCTTGATACATGGATTGATGCGGTGCATCTCATTCGAACGTGCATCAAGAGTGGAGATCCCCTCTTACACTTCTTACTTTAACTCTCTTTCTTACTGGAACCCAACACATATAGGCGGTTTATTTTACAAACCATGCAAACCATAATTAATGCTTATATTAGAAATACAAATTACTATGATTCATTAATTATGATTGGATGGGAAACATAAGAAATGAAGTTCATCATTGGATGCACATTAGGATGAGATGTACTAAGATTTGATGTACCAAGATGCACTGAATCAATCTCCATATCAAACGTGATTCATGAAAGGGTTTTTGATTAAAGGTGATCAAGCGTTTAGATCATTCCTTACGTTTATCATATTAACTCTCTTTCTCACACGATCATTCGTATATACATATATATGCATGCATATATATATATACACATATATATACATACATATATATACATACATACATATAAAGGAGCGATCAAATAAAAACCACCCTCATCTGTACAAACCATACAAACCACCCTCATACGTCGATTTTATTGTTTAATCTTATGAAATTTTTTCATGAAATTGTTTAATCTTGTAAAATTGTTTCATATAATGTTTTTTTTTTGATGAATTTGTTTCATATATGGTTATGAAATTGTTTCATATGATATTTAATGAAACTGTTTTATGTATTTATCTAAAATTAAAATAATGAAGATGATAATATCCATGAGCAACACCCTCCATATTAAAAATTGTTAATCAACCTCTCATAATTACAAAAGTGAACAAAATGAAAAATTATGATTGGTTAAATGAGGTTTTCACGGTTTGTACAAATTGAGTGGTTTTTTTAACGCTCCTCCATACAAAGTTTTCACGGTTTCTTTTTATACATATATATATATATATATATATATAGAGAGAGAGAGAGAGAGAGAGAGAAAAGCTCATTTGCAAACTCATTTTTTTTCATGAGGACCAATTTTGACTCTCCATCTTATTTGAACCAACAACTCACATTAAATGGAATTTTTAATTAAATTTATTCATTAAGGTGATTAGGGATAAAAAAAGGAAATTAATTCAATCACACACTTACCATATTTCACGTTTTATTTTCTTTTTTAATTAAAAACTTTTACTCCCTTAAAATTTAAAATAAATTTTCTTAAAAATTATTAACATTTTAAACAAACAAATTATATAAAATACTAGAATTTCATGTTCTTCAATATGACATTCATCTCGATATAGTTTTTTCTTCATTTTAACCTTTTTTTACGTAAAATGGTATATATGTGTTATATCCATTATGAATATGTATGTACATTCAAGTGTACAATAACTTGACATAGTAAGTCCGTAATTTGACATCACCTTCTTCAACGTTGTAAAGCACCAAGTTCTTCATCACCGTAACCCAACACCCGTCAAGACCGATCAAGAACCCATTGAGACCGAGTGGAAACCTATCGAGACCAATTGAGAGAGGTCGAGAATCCTTTTACTGAATCCGTATGTGTTTATGTGTGTTAAACCACAACTTACCGTCTTCGTATGTGTTTATGTGTGTATATGCAAGATAAATATTATGATGAACATCATACTAATATACTTACTATAGCGTTATTATATACACGTGATCATGCCTAAATATTCATGATGGATAGTATGTAAATCCATGATAAATGTTACACTAAAAATGTACATTCATGACGAATATCATATTGATAGATAAATGTTGCAAAGTTATTGTATATATATATATATATATATATATATGATGAATAGTATGTATATTCATGATTAATAATATGTACATTAATGATGAATGTTATAATGAAATTGTATATTCATGATGAATATCATACAGATGTATGAATGTTGAGAAGTTGTTGTATACACGTGCACACATGTAAATATTCATGTTGAATAATATGTATCATATTGATGTATGAATATTGAAGAGTTATTGTATACACCCAACATATATATATATATACATGATGAAGGTTATAAAGAAAATGTATATTCATGATGGACATTATTTATATTCATGATGAATGTCATGACGATGTATGAATACTGAAGATTGTTGAATATACATGAAAATACATAACTATTCATAATGAATGTTATACTAAGTTGTATATTCATGATGAATATCATACTAATATATGAATATTAAAGAGTTGTTTTAAACATAAGAACATGCATAATATTCATAATGAATATGACACAAATATACTATTTGACGTAAAAAAACATAAAGAAAAACTATACAGAGATAAATGTCAATCGAAGAGAATAAAATGTTCAATTTTTTGATGTTATTTGTTTGATTAATATATTAATTATTTTTAAGATGATTTAATTTAATTTTGATCAATTACTAAAATTTGTCCTTATGTTTACAAAAAAATTGTGGGTTAAAATTGACCCACACAAACCCACACAGGGAAGAGATATTTTACAAACCTATATATATATATATATATATACCATAGGTTATTTCAAAAAGTGATAAAAATTTGAGAAATAAAGAAGTAATATCACTTTTTGAAATAACCTATGGTATATATATATATATATATATACCATAGGTTATTTCAAAAAGTGATAAAAATTTGAGAAATAAAGAAGTAAAGAAGCCACAATATTTTGAGACCGGTTAAAATTTGCGACAATGCGAAAAATAGAGAGGCTTGTAGTTTCGGAAGTTTTACAAATAGACGGAAAATGGGTTCAAATGTGAACACATGTGATTCACATATGAACTGTTTTAACTGATTCACATATGAACTAATTAACTGATTCACATATGAACTAATGAATCGATTCACATATACACCTATGTGATTCACCTATGAACTAATTAACTTATTTACATATGAACCAGTGGGTTCATATGTGATTCATTTAGATATTTCACATGTGAACTAATTAATAGGCTCATATATGAAAATATAGTTCATATGTGAATAACACGAGTTCATATATGGACCCGTTTGCGTCTATTTTTAAAAGTTACGAAACTACTCATTTATCTTCTGTATATCCATGCGAGGAATTATCTAGTGCTTCACAGTCAAAGCCACAAATGTTGACCAGATGATGGGTTGTGATCACTTCTTTACTTCTTAAATACTTACTACTTCTCAAATGTACATTTCCATATATATATATATATATATATATATATATATATATATATATAGGTGGGTTATTATACAACCCTTTACATTTGTACAACCAATACAACCCAATCTCAGCCTTCCATTTAATTTGATAAATATGTAATTTTATAGAAGTTTTGATTGTTTCCTAATATAAAGTATTGATCATAATTAAAGAACCTTATTCATCTTTCATAAATATTTAAATTATAATAAATGAACTCTCATCATTTCCATAAATATTTCAATTTATTGGGTTGATTGGTTGTACAAATACGATAGGTTGCATTTGAAACAAACTCTTTCTCTCTCTCCCTCTATATATATATATATATGGAAGATAATAAGTTCATTCATTATGATCATGGTTTCTTTTAGAAAACAAAATGAAATCAAATATTTATTAGAATAGATGGTCCGTTAATATTGGTTGTAAAATAAACCTCCCCCCCTCTCTCTCTCTCTCTCTCTCTCTATATATATATATATATATATATATAAGTAGGTAGGTTTATACGAGAAGATATCTATTTAGGAAAATAAGAGAATGGCCAAATTACGCACAAAATCACATGTGATTTTAAATTAACGGCCAAAAAAGTGTGTGGGCTACCTTATGGCTAAGTCGCAAGGTCTATTAAACCCCATAATTCTTATTTGTAAAAGTAATGAAAAATGTACACGTATGGAAGTCTGGAGACCCAATGGAAGACGGAGATGAGAAGATTCTAAGTGCTGAAGACAAACAGAGATGCAATGAAAGCTCCAGAGGTGCTATGAAGACCTGAAGCACTTAACCTGATAATCTACTTATGAAAAAGTTCATCAGGTCGATGAACTAGCATTTCCATAACCCCTCTAGTTTACAGCAACTAAAGAATCTTCAAGTATCATAGTTCAATCAGATCTACTCTAAGCAAGCAGATATGTGAAGAATCCTGATTGAACACGCTACCTAAAGATAGCTGGAGATGACTCATCGCCAGCTTGAATTCTGTTACACTAGGTAGTTAGAGATAACTCCCATCTTTCTAGATAGATATTTTCTCCATGTTTATCTCATAGATATCTCATACTAGATAGTTATCTCTTAAACTAGATTGCTAGTACAAATAACATTCATATGTCTTGTAATTTAAGTAATCCTTCTCATTATCTTTATTCTAGTAAAGTTACATGAAAGCTTTATACTTTCTTGA